ACTCGAGGTTTGTGGGGCTCTTTCTGGACCCGATTTCTATCGGGTAAATTATGTGGACAATGCAGAATTTAATTCTGAGTCGAGCAAAGCCGTCCCCGTCTCGATTGGATCCCTCGCTAAAAAGTTATACGAGTTTTGCCGAGGTTCACTCTTGATAAGGGCCCACTTCACGGATTTTGTTGTAAATACGTTTGTACGTTCCGAGACATACTACAACCAACTAATATCAAGTTTCTGAGTATGTTGGCGCTCGAAAATAATGACTTAGCGACAAAAAAATTTTCTTGATTTTTTTCGGTCGGGAGTGCATGGTACCCCCCGTGGTTCATAAAAGTCAAAAAAAAATTTTCTTAAACCGACTTTTGCTAAGCACCAGAATGCCTAGAAATGTGCCCTAATACAACCGGAAATTATTTGGTACCCCCCCTATGGTCGAAAATTCGATGCCGGCTCAATACAGACCTCGAGGTCGACCGCGAGTCCGACCTCGAGTCCTGTCCACGCATTGTGGCCACCTCGAGTCCGAGTCCGAGTCCGAGGAATCCTCGAGGTCGGACTCGGACTCGGACTCGAGGTGGCCACAATGACGAAAATCCCAGGACTCGGACTCGGACTCGGACTCGGGGTCGGCATTGTGGCCAGGGCTTAAGTATACCTCGTACGGAGCCCCCAAGGTGCTGGTGAGGGCAATTCCGAACCTGAGCACTTGACCTAAACAAACCGAAACTCACAGCCCTCATCGAAACCGAGACAACATATCTCAAATCTAACTTGTCCCGCCCCTACCAAAATTTTTCGGTGGCGGCCTTCGACCAGGGCTGCAAATTCCTAAACCCAACCGAGCCGAGACCGATACCTCATAAGGGTCCGTGAGTCTCGGAAAAGTGCGATCAGTGGCGTAATTTGGGGGGGCCAAGGCAAAATGAATTTTCAACGCAACTTTACCAAGGAAGCCTAAAAACCTCGTTGGCGGCGAAGATTCCTGCTAGAAAAGAGCTTTAAGCAAGCGGAAGGAGGAAAAACGAGAATAAGACGGCCGCGATCGCGGGCTCAGTGGCTTAGTGGAAGAGAATCAGCGTGCTGGAAATGATCACCAGTGGAGTTATGTAAGTGTTCAAACCCCACGCTCGTTGGCGGCGCCTGCGGCGGGCCTGTTTAGGCTAAATACGTGATATCCGGGACAGAAAAATCATTGAAGGTTTGAATTTCCGATGAATTTATCCCAAAAAGCCCAAAGAACTCTTTTTGGCGGTGCCTGCGGCGGGCTACATTGGGTATAAACACGCCAAAATCAGTATTAAAAACCGCTGTGGGGCAAACTGATACGTATGATACGTGCTAGGTATGTAGGGATTAAGAACATCAACTGACACATTTACAATCTGCACTGATGACATTGACTCTGTGCCCTTTTTGTGGTCAGTAAAAGATTCAGTCGTGCACAACTGCACGGTTTCAAAATATTCGGAAATTCGGTCGCAATTTCGAAACCCGAATCCGAATCCGAAACCGAAGCAAAACGACCGAATCCCCAAGTTCCCCAATGTTTCAAACGGTACGTCCCTCGGGTTCAGACACTTCCCCTTGACCTTCGTTAAGACATTCCTCGACTTTTTCCGCCAAATTCACCGATGGTTTCCCGATTAACAGACGTTCCCCGGCTCTTATGCATTCCGCCGGTTTCACGACATAGCCCGATACGCAACCTTCTTCGACGCTCCCCACGTACCCACGACCGATTCTCAGACGTTCCCCGAGGCTCGACCTGACCAAACTTAGCCCGGTAGCTTGAAATCTTTTGTGACGGATCACATACACCAGCGCTCTAGTTAAGTAGGATAGCTCAGTGGTAGAGCAATCGACTGCAGATCGATAGGTCCCCGGTTCAAACTAGTGTTCGGAACCCGTGCCCGTTTCACGGCCGTCCCCGTTCCTGTTCCCCGTTTTTTTCACGGGAACGGGGAACGGCACGGGGGGTGTCAGCACGGGGACGGGGAACGGCACGGGTGGGGTCCGGTAACGGCCCCCGTTCCCGTGCCCTTTTTCGTAAGGGGGACCCTTTGGTTAAGACAAAATTTTGAAAATCTGGCATATTTTCAGAAAATTTTAAACTTTTTTTC